TGTTCCTTTCTATTTATCTCACTAGGATTGGACTTCCACTTCTTAAAAGATACCTTTTTGTCCCTCACTGCTTCTTTTACATGGTGGTTAAGCCACGGTGACTCTTTTTTAGGTCTCTTGCTATGTTTTTTAATTTGGGGTATACATTTAAGTTGGGCCTCTATTATGGTGTCTTTAAAAAGTTTCCATGCAGCTTTCAGGGATTTGGCTCTAGTCACTGTGCCTTTTAATTTCTGTTTAACAAACCTCCTCATTTTTGTGTAATTCCCCTTTTTGAAATTAAATGCCAGGGTGCTGGACTGCTGAGGTGTTCTTCCCACCACAGGAATGTTGAATGTTATTATATTATGGTCACTATTCCCAAGCGGTCCTGTAACGGTTATATCCTGGACCTGATCCTGCACTCCACTCAGGACTAAATCGAGAATTGCCTCTCCCCTTGTGGGTTCCTGCACCAGCTGCTCCAAGAAGCAGTCATTTAAGCCATTGAGAAATTTTATCTCCGCTTCTCTTCCTGAGGTGACATGTATCCAGTCAATATGGGGGTAATTAAAATCTCCCATTATTATAGAGTTCTTTATTTTGGTAGCCTCTCTAATCTCCCTCAGCATTTCAATCTCAGTATCGCTGTCCTGGTCAGGTGGTCGGTAATATATCCCTACTGCTAATTTCTTATTATTGGAGCATGGAATTACTATCCATAGCGATTCTATTGAACATGTTGATTCACTTAATATTTTTATTTCATTTGATTCTACATTATCTACATACATTCATAATGCTTATGAAATTGCCACTTTATTTGGCCTTTTTTTTTTATTTAGGATAAATATTTAGTTTTTCCATGCTTCTACAATGGGTCCCTTTAAAGAAATCAGTGGCATTCAACAGACCTCTGCCATGCTCTGCAAAGGATACTTTACATAGGTATCTAAAATGCCTCCTTCTATTCCCCTTATGCTATTGAATCCCTTTAGAAGAAAATTCTATGTTCAGGGGGCTCACAACAAATTGAAATGAACGTCAGAGATCCTTCTGTGGTCACCAAAAATTTTGGAATTATTAATAGTATCTGAAATTATTGGAGACGACCAGACCCTAATGTAATTAGCAATTCCTTGTTACATCCAAAGGACAAAGGATATTTTTTTAAATTGTTATAAAACATGACTAACACCCTAAAATAGAAGCTTCAGAGGATAGCTGAGTTAGTCTGTACAGGATATACTTAAAAAACAACAAAAGGTCTGGTAGCACTTTATAGACTAACAAAACATGTAGATGGTATCATGAGCTTTCGTGGGCACAACAAAGTATTCATAAGAATGTGATCAGTATACTTACAAATAGGCCAGATCTAGAGAAAACCATCTCATCCTGGCGTGCTCCAGCATGATTAGGTAGGGTGTAAAAAAACTCTGCAGCTTCATGGCCCTCTTTATATGTCTCAGCTATTTTTAGCCAAACCACAGTTTGAAGCAGTTTATCCTTGCTGCTTTCCTTTCCCCTCCTTTTTACCGGATGAATAATGGGACAGATTGTACTTGGTTCTTTTAAAACAGTTTCTGTCTTTTTACTGCAGCTTCTCACTTTATTGGTTACTTTTTGAACCATATATCTTTCCCACATTATAAATAATAACACTTATTATGCTCATGGCATTCTTTTACTTGCTGACTGGTGCCTTTTCCATCTTAGCCACAAAATATGCCAAACTTTAGCTAACTTTAATTCTTTTAACTTCATAAGTACCAATTACAGCAAGCATTCCTAGGCATGAGTTCTTCCATTCCCTCTTTCATCTACTCTTGTGAGGTACCTTTGCTCACTTGGGCTATGTCTACACTGCACTCTTATTTTGAAATGACTCACATTATTGTGAAATAACAGAGTGTGCGTCTACACAGCAAGCCTGTTATTTCAAAATTATTTTGAAGTAACGGGCTTCTTACTCCGACTTCTATAAGGAGTAAGGGAAGTCAAAGGAAGAGTGTTCTTCCTTTGACTTTCTGCTGTGTAGACAGCACCAAAAGTCAAGTTAAGGAACTTCCACTTCAGCTACACAATTAATGTAGCTGAAGTTGCGTATCTGAACTTGACATTAGCCCGCAGTGTTAGATGTACCCACGGTGACAGCAGCAAGTCATCAGGCCCAAAGAGTATTCACCCAAAAGTTCTGAAGAAATTAAAGAATTAAGTGGGTGAACTGCTAATAAAAAACCTATATATTTAAAATTATC